AGCAGCCAACGAAACATTCTAAGACTGAAATTTTAATCTCTATTAAGATTTATAACAATTACTATTACAATGCAGCTCATGTAGTATTGACAATTTCCTTTTGTCTGAGACTCTGCATTTAAGTTGATTGTAAAGACCTCAACCTTTCAAGAAGAGACGTTATAGGTGGGAAAATCTGTTTTTCTAAGCACCTGACAATGTTGAGATTCTGGCTGTGATTAATGTGAAGCAACCTACAAATACACTTTGAAATGTTCATCTGTCCTGGAATAAAATTAACTGAAGAAAATATACATTTGGTTCTCAAATTATGTTTATTTCATAAATACCCTGTAAATCTGGATCTGAACACAAGCAAACACAAACTATTAGATTTGAGTTTACTCCAAGTGAAGCGTGTTATTGCTTTAAATTGGAAAAAAAAACTCTCAAAGGTCATCCTGTAGCCATTGGATTAAAGAAATGACTAGCAATCTTGCCCTGGAGAAGCTGACATACACTGTTAAAGGCAAATTACAAGATTATTATAAAATATGGACCCCCTTTCGACACGTACTCAACCAGGTGGACAAGGCAACATTTTTTATGTTTGAACTTTCAAACCCTTGTTGGTGTCTTCCTGTATTGTTTCAGCACTAAGTAACACATTGATTTAACCAGTAACACTGGAAAGCTGTGAAATGCAATTTACAAAAATGCACTGAACATTGTTATTATTAGTTTATTGTTTAATTATGTACTGTTATTATTTGATTTTATGTAATTTATTTACAAATGAAGAGTTCAGATGCGAAAACCTCAAAGTGCCATCTGAAGTTTCCATCGAATATATGTTTTTTTTTCTTAGGCTTCTTTGTTTAGGTTGAGATATTTTACTTTAAAGAACAGGAAAAGGACTTGGAAGGGATATTACTAAACATACACACAGGAGACTGATAAAAATACTCCTTTTAGAAGAAAATTTTAGATGGCATTTAGATGAGTTGTTGCATCTAAACTCTTCGTATTTATTTTCACATTTTAACCATTTGTCTTTTAGTTTTATTTGATGTATTTCGTTCTTTAGTTCAAATAAAACCCAATAAATATATTTTGGACCATAAATCTCCACTTCAGCAGCACACCAAACCTGAGTTATATCTCTATTCTGAAGGTTTTTGCCTGATTAAAGAAACATTTTATTATACAACAATTCGTTTTTTCCTTGTACTTCACAATATTTACTCAATTCTGAATACAAAAATAGACATTCCAATTTTGATTGTTATCCAGTTCACATGAAGTGTCTGGTCTTAATCTGTACTATGAAAGTGCAACAACGTGTTTTGTCTATAAAAGAATGGTGCACCGCCTCCCCTCAGATACCAAATATATCTGCTCTTGTGCAGTTCTTCACTATCTTTTCCTTCATCCTGGCCCTGGTTCACCTTCCCTCAAGCCCTTTCCTTCCTCCTGCCCTCTCCAGCGGCTCCCACCTCTCCGTCCCGCTGCTGTTCCCATGGTATCGTGATCGTGAGGTCAGGGACTCGGCTGCTCTGTGTTAATAAAGCCAGTTGGAAAGATTCCCAGGGCCTGTGCAGAAAATAGAGGAGCTACTGCAAATAATCAGAGTACACAGACACACTCTCAAACTCTTAATGGGCCTTGAGCGTGCTTACACACACACACACACACACACACACACACACACACACACACACACACACACACACACACATGTTAGTATTGGTGGTTTACAAGAGTCTCCATTGAATAATGTATTTTAAACAGTAAAACCGCTTATTAGCCTACCCCAACGGCTAAACCCAACATTTAAATGTGATAAGACCATGTTAATTATAATTTTTAAGTGTTTTGTATTACAAGGACACAAGACATGTCCTCTTAAACCATTTTAAGTACAAACAACTTGGTCATATTCAAGTCATCATGCATTAAAATTATGTCCTTGTAAACCACTAAAACCAGTGAACACAAATACACACACACACAAGCAAGCAATCAAAACCACAAGCCTGGCTCTCAATCACAAGGTAGGTTAAAAATTGCAAATTCAAGACATTGCTTGTATTCAGAACGGTTACATTTAATAGAGACCTGCGTGCTAAGACTTGTGATGAAAAAAAATGTGTCACAGGTAAGTGCAGTAAAACAAGTCATTCATGCACTGACCTGCAGTTCTGCTCTTTGTTAACACCCACAATAATTTCAGCTATAGAGAGTTGTGTTGCATTGAAATGCACAGAAAAATGATTCATTGCATTTACTATCTTTTTTTAAGGTAAGTGTTTGCAAACGATTTATATGGACTGAAATTAAAGAAAATTCTCCATGAAATTGAAAATTGAAAGCTCATCATCATTCCAAACCCCTGAGATCACCTTCGTTTATCTTCACAACGCCAATAAAGATATTTTAGAAGAAACCCAAGAGCTCTCTCATCCTCCATAGACAGCAACAACATTCAAAATCCAGAAAAAAGACCAAAAACTTTGTCAAAATATTCCAGATCACTTTAGTGGTTCAACTGTAACCATTTGAAGCTACACATTTTTTTGTCGTTTGCACAAAAAGTAAATGTTCATGGAGCTTTGTATGTGATCATTAGTGTCTGAAAGCTGCTGTTGGATTTCATCTAAAACATATTCATTTGATTTTAGATTATGAAGGAATGTCTCAGGGGATTGAAACAACATAAGGGTTAAGAATTATTAATGAGTTTAAATTTTTTATTCTTTTAACTATTGGGTAATGTTAATGCAGTTTGATGTTAAATCATAAAAGCCTTACTGATATATTAATTATTGGCTGCAATAATACAGTTGGCTTCTATATGCTGGAGAAACAAACAAAATATAAAAACATAAAAGTAAATACCTAAATGAATAATAAAATAAAGGAAAACTACTCTGTTTATTCGAATTATCCATCCATTGCATTCACTGGGGATTGAAATTTTTACACATTAGCATATCCACATGAAAAAATATATATATACAGTTGAAGTCAGACATATTAGCCCCCCTTAGGATTTTGTTTTCGTTGTAAAATATTTCCCAAATGACCAAAGATATTTTCACAGTATGTCTGATAATATTGTTTCTTCTGGAGATAGTCTTATTTGTTTTATTTTTGGCTAGAATAAAAGCAGTTTTTTAATTAAAAAAAAAAAAACATTTTAAGGTAAAAATTTTTTAGCCCCTTTAAGTTATTTTTTTGATAGTCTAAAGAACAAACCATCATTATACAATAACTTGCCTAGTTATCCTAACCTGCCTAGTTAACCTAATTAACCTAGTTAAGCCTTTAAATGTCACTTTAAGCTGTATAGAAGTGTCTTGAAAAACATCTAGTAAAACATTATTTACTGTCATCATGGCAAAGATAAAATAAATCAGCTATTATAAATGAGTTATTAAAACTATTATGATTAGAAATGTGTTGAAAAAAATCTCTCCGTTAAACAGAAATTGGCACAAAAAATAAAAAGGGGGCTAATAATTCTGACTTCAACTGTATATTATTGTAATGTATAGTAAATATTAGTGTTTTTGAACCATACTAGTGTTTTTTACTGTACATATTATTGCTACTCTTAGTTAATGAATGCTCCAGCATACTGTAGTATGGACTATAATGAACTAATAAACTGTAATAAATAGTGTCGTAGGCATGATGGCTCAGTGGTTAGCACTGTCCCTTCAAAGCATGAAGGTCGCTGATTCAAGCCTCGGCTGGGTCAATTGGCATTTCCGTGTGGAGTTTGCATGTTCTCCCCATATTCATGTGGATTTCCTCAGGGTGCTTTGGTTTCTCTCAAAGTCTAAACACATGCACTATAGGTGAATTAAATAAACTAAATTGGCCATAGTGTATGTGTGTGAATGAGGGTGAATGGATGTTTCCCAGTACTGGGTGGCAACTGGAAGGGCGTCCGCTGTGTTAAACATATGCTGGATAAGTTGGCGGTTCAATCCGCTGTGGCGACCCCTGGTGAATAAAGGGACTAAGCCAGCCTAATCTCACGAGGAAATGCAAGTATTTTACGTTTTATCAGTTTAGTGGCTAATTCGTACTAATTTCTACGAGTTTAAAAAGGAGGTGTGGCACCCAACCCCACCCCTAACCCCAACCGTCATTGGGTGATAAGCAAATCAAACTAAATTGTACAAATTAGATTTTTAAATTTTAAAAAGATTTTTTTTTTATTTTTAGATTTTTAAAAAGTTACGAATTGCCATGAGATTGCGTTAAACTAAACCGAAGGTAAATGAATGAAAGAAATACTGTAGAAGTGTAACTACAGCAAAATTGCTTGTTTAAACTACTTATTTAAAATGAGTCAAAACACAATTCTTTTCATTTTTGGGGGACAACGTAATTGGTTTATGTTCAATCAAAGGTTCAGTCAAAGGATTAAGTTAACTTAATTGATTTTTACTGAAGGAACATGAAGGAATTCTCTGGAACCTAAGAACATTTTATATATCATACTCAATAGTTTTATATATACACACACACACACACACACACACACACACACACACACACATATATATATATATATATATATATATATATATATATATATATATATATACATACACACACACACACACACACACATATATATATATATATACACTCACACACACACACACACATATATATATATATATATATATGTGTGTGTGTGTGTGTGTGTGTGTATATATATATATAATATAATATAATATATTTCCCAGTGATTGGTTGCGGCTGGAAGGGCATCCGCTGCATAAAACATATGCTGGATGAGTTGGCGGTTCATTCTGCTGTGGCGACCCCAGATTATCATAGGGACTAAGCCGAAAAGAAAATGAATGAATGAATGAATAATATAAGAATGCCTGTCTTTGGGAGCAGCGGGCTAACACCTAATATACCTCAGTGTGAATGTTACACGTATGCATAGCTTCACAGAAATATGGCACAATAAATCATTTAAAAAACAGCCAAACTTTTGTAAATGGGCATTTATTTACCATTTTGTTTCTGTCCTATTGTATAAGTCTATTGTAATATGTACAGCAGCAGCAAACATTCAGTTAACATCCAGTATACAATCTGATAAATCCCAATAAAAACGTCCTCATGTGCAGTTGTGAAACAGAGGCGCATGAAGCATGCAGGCTTCATATGTGTAGACGAAGTGATTAATGATTCACTTTCATTGATAAAGCAGCAACGCTAAAATATTCCAGATGCTGCTGCTTCCCTTTCAGCCTGAACACATGCTGCAGTTTCGAGAAGAAAAAAAGTCCATCAGGAATGGATGTGTTCATGAAATTAGCATGGTCATCAATGTGGGAACATCACATTTTGAGATTAATCAACAAAAACCCAAGTAATAATCCACGGCTATATTTGTCGCAAACTGAAAAAAGCATTAATAGTCAATGTGAATGATCACAGTATTTATGTTAAGTAGAGATGCTTATTAAGGCATGTGGTTGGTTGTTGGCATTAAATCCAGCTATCTGTATTTACGTCAATTTATCTATCTATTTATTGAATGGCTGAAAAGATATTTATTTATTTGTAGTTATTGTGCTTCAGTGATGCAAAATTATAAAGTAACCCTGATCACCCTTTTTAACATAGCTTATAAGAAGAGTTATACATGTCGTGCTAAGCTAATACAAACTGTACTAATGTAACTACGAAAAATGACAAAATGTAAAGATATTTTCATATTCTACATCAGTGGTCCCCAACATTTTTATCACCACAGACCAACCATTGCTTGACAATTCTACCAGGACCCGAGTGGAGACAGGGGTCTTGGGTGTGCATAGATTGCTAGGCTATCATCAACAACTTTCTCGGAGGATAACAAGCTGACAAAACATTGCTGCAACTCTGATACAAATGTTTTATGGAGCAAATTAAACAGCGCAATGTTTCTCTGAGATATTTAGTCTGCCGAAATGTGTATAATCCATACAAAGTGTAAAGCTGATTGGTCAGTTCTTGTCAAGTGACTCGCGGTATTTCAGATACTTGAGATGTTTTTAACTGGGTGCCACGTGCGCATCGCTGCCAATATACGTGCCTCCATTTGAAATAACGAAATTGAGCGCGGGAAAAGATGCGATATGTAAACGGCGATCTACGGTCATTTGCGATCTTCAGCAGATGATCATCTTCTTGCAGACATGCTGGATTTACCTGATTTGTTGATAAATAGGTTGCGGATCAATTCCTTGGCAGTTTGTGGGTCCTTCAATCGCTTTCTCAGGTGACGTCACGTTGCATTATGGGTCTAGTCGCCATTTGTGGGGTACCCGAGTTAGCATTAGCTTTTATAAGATTTTAGCATCTTTCACACTTAAATAGAGTGTAGTGTTCTTGTCATGGGAAGGGCTGTAATGGTAAATAACATGATTGAAAAGGTTAAAAAAAGAACTATTACGACAGAAATTTTAAAATTTCCCACTTGGAGGAAAGGATATGACAGCATGTAGGAGACAACAGATGCAGATGATGTTTGTCTACCAAATCGGATTATTCTACCGAAATTTGTATATTCCATTCAAAGCTGATTGATTAGTCCTTGTCAAGTGACTTGCAGTATTCCAAATTCTTAAGGTGTTTTTACTGGGTGCCATGCACTCCCAATATGTGAGCCTCCATTGGAAATTAAAAACGTGCGCACGAAAGACGCAATATATGAATGGCGATCTACGGCCAGTTGATCATCTTCTTTCACAGACATGCTGGATTCACCAGATTTGTTGACAAAAATAGGTTGCGGATCCATTCCTTGGCAGTTCATGGGTCCTTTAATTGGTCTTTGACGTCACCCTCGTGAACGCCGAGTTGCATTATGCATCTAGCCGCCATTTGTGGGGAATCCGAGTTAACGTTAGCTGGTTTTAGCAGAGAATAAATAGAGTGAAACATTCTTTTTGTGTGAAGGCCTGACAACAGATTTTTTTTTAATTTCGCACTTGGAAGAAAGGATATTGACAGCATGTAGTAGGTAACAGATACATCGGATGTATAGCTACCGAATCGAACGTTAGCCTACTGAAATTTGTATTTCTATTCAAAGGTGATTGGTCAGATCTTGTCACGTGACTCATGGTGTGCTCATAACAATCTGAAAACTTGAGGTCTTTTTAACTGGGGGCTTTGTGCGCATCGCTCTCAATATGCATCTCCATTGGAAATAACGAACTTGCATTTGGAAAAGCCGTGACATGAACAGCCGCCATCGTTTGCAATCTCCAGCAGTTGATCTTTTTCTTGCACAGACAAGCTGGATTCACCTGATTAGTTGAAAAATAGCTTGTGGATCTATACCCTGGCAGTTCGTGGGTCCTAAATGTGCCTTTTCCCCTTCGTACAGACGTCTGTTTCTAACTCATTTTGCTAGCTAGTGGGTTAAGTTTTGGTGGTCAGGTGACCGAGATGTACTCGAGAAAATATGGTCATTTTTTATCAAAATAATAGATCATTCTGACTCGGATATTAAATAAAACAAATATAATTAATGATTTCTTGTGCGGCCCGGCGGTTGGGGACCACTGTAGTAAATGATTTGAGCAGTAAAGTGACAATAGGAACAGTTTAGGAAACACATTTCTGGTTAATGTAAGGACTAGTTTTAGAATAAAAAAAAAAAAAGTTGTTTTAGTACTAAAATGCATTCATTACACTGTATGTCTAGCATTCAGGGCCCTGTTCAGGTTGATAATATCTAATATAATGCATTTTGTCATTATGATTGCAAAAATAAGTACTGGCCAAATGGAAAGGCCACATATTCAAAGTGTTTCTACATAAAATCTGTCATTAGATGAGATTTCAATCAAGAATGGAGTTAAGTGCACAGAGCTATGATTATGTAAATAGATTCAGCTTTGGAAATTCAATTCTCAAGTTAAGGATACAATTCACTAGAACCAAAAATAAATAAGAAATCAAGAATTCTTTAAAGAAAGATCAAAATACTTTCTGAATCAGAATTGATTTTGTAGACTAGTGTGTTAAATAAGAATATATAAAAGTATGAGACCTATTAAGTTGATGAATACAGTAGGTTCCTTATTGCTGTTTGTGCAAAGGTAGCATCATATACAGCTGATTGCGACACATTTCTGTTAATATTTGCTTTTTTTTTAAAGACATCCTCTTGCTGACAGTTTGATGCACTTTGTGGTAAGTTACTTATTTCAATTTATAACCTGACATGAAACACAATACTGAAATCCATATCTGTGAGCTGAAAGCATGGAGTGTATGAACCCCACATGTGCTGGGTTACATGGGGGATACCAAGGTAACACAAGCCCTTTTTAGGCCCCACGGCTCAAGTCAGAGAAAAGAAAAACTACCGCTGCCTGGAAAGTGATCATCTGTCAAAGCCTGAGGGAGTGCATGCACTTCAACAACAACCAAACTCCAAGAAAAAAAAGTGTGCATGAAAGGAAACCATTTCACATTTCTGACACTTGATTAAAAAAAAAAACTCCTTGCATTCTGTTTCTGAACAATAAAAACTACTCCAAACAAAACCAGAAAGTTGTCATGGCAGGGTGTAGACGCATGCAGAGGCCTTCTGGCACGTGTATGTGTGTGTGTCCAGATCATTAGGGAGGAGCTCCACATTTTTACCCGATTACACAAATTGCAAAACACAGAGGGGGGAGATGATGTCATTGCTGCTTTGAAAGAGAAAAATGTCAGATTTTCCTTTTTCTGTGGTGAATCCAGGAGGCCTGTTGTGCTGTAATTATGCAAATGCACAATGAAAGTCGTTTTTGACAGGCTTTCTTGATTGCTGTCAAATTTTTACAATTATATCTAAGAGTTGAAATAAAGCCACAATGTGTCTTTCTTGTAGTCCAAATACACGTATGGGGGAAACAATAACATAAAAAAATGGTACCTTTAGGATACAACAGTCTCACATTGTCAGATACTCAGACTGATCACTTTCACTGGCCTCTCACTGCCTCTGACTGACATGAAAAAGCAATCACAGTTTGTTTTGTTCACAAGTGAAGTCAGTGTAACTACAATAAACGTGTTTTAATGTAAAGCAAGTAGTGCTCTGCATTCATAGTATTAAAAAAAACAGTAGGCAAGAGATACCCTGATGACCCACTACTTCTAGGAAGATTCTGAACTGCGCATTAAGTTTGGTAAATTCAAAATAATATAGTTTGTTCAATCTACTTATTTAAAAGGAGCTGAAACAACACAATTCTTGAGATTGTTTTGGGCGCAACTTAATAGTTTTTATCTTCAATCCACTTCAATTTGTAAAATCAATTAAGTTGGGACAGCATGAAGGAACTGTGTGATTGGGCTAATCAGGCTTTTGTTTGCACTGCCAAAAGTACTCTTACTTGCTAGGCTTGACGTACAGCAGAAATTTGCAATGAATGTCATTATCACTTCAATAAAGTTTGCTCAAGACATTTACATTTGCATCTTGGGCTCACTAAAGTTCATTATTTCACATATACATGTGTGGCAAATCCATACAACTTTTCCATGCAGTCTCAAAAACAACAATAGAGGACATACACCAAATCACTTTCTTGCTTTTTGGCACATGGCTGTTTGTCTTCAAGCAGACAAACTTTGTTTGAACTTAGGTCGACCATGGTTTCTCCCAAGACCAACATTGCATTGTCTCTGCTGTGTATTTCAAAATGAGATTCTAGTGGTGTTGTTCCGTATTGTTCAAAATTTTCCATAAACCAAGATACCGATCAGTAGAGTGTGTAGCTCCATGCTTTTGGCAGAGTACTGATATGCTAGGTAACCATTGAAATGGGTGCCAAAAGTGGTAAGGTTTACCACTTTTGACAGTGGAAACAGACTGTACTGTACTGAACAGAACCTCATTAAAAACATGACAATCCTGATATCCTGTAGAATTCCACCAATTCGATAATGACTATAAAACAATTTAGTGTGCCTTTCGAATGTCAGCCAACAGTTCATGGACAAGACATCTGAAGCGTGTTTTACAGAACTGGTGTAGCACCCTTAAAAACTACTTTGTACTCTACTCCTAAAAAGTGCACTTAAAAACTTAAGTCAGTATTTCTCAATGCTGTTCCTAGAGGTACACCAACAGTACACATTATGGATGTCTCCCTATTCTGACCCATTGAATTATAGTCTTAGAATCTACTCTAATGAGTGTGTTTGATTTGGAAGATATTTGAAAATGTTTAGTTTAGGTGTGTCTCCAGGAATTTGGTTGGTATACTAGGAAAATGTTTGGGTGAATAGGTTACAAAATTCTTCCTATAAAAGGTACTACTTCAAGGTTTGTTTATCTTCGAGAATGCTTTCGCATCAGGCTCACGGTTTTGAAAAACTGCTATTTTCTCTCCCTTAGATTGATTTGTTGGGGCAAATGTGGCCATGGTAATTGCACTCTGATTCATGCTAACATAACCAGTCCAAGATTACCTGAATGAGGGTCTCAGGAAGCTTAAAAACACCTAATAGGTACCATTTAAAAAAAATCATGATACAGTCTAACAGAGATGAATTAAAACAATATATTCGAGTACGAAGAAGTTCAATAAAACAATGGATTAACAGTACAAATCCTGGACCTTACAAGAGTATTTTGCAAAGATTACATGTATAATGGTAAAAAAAATCCAAATCCGCAGGAAAAGCTGGTAAAACAGCTGGTAAATATCTTGTTACAGAACATCAAGAATAATTCCCACTTATATGCACCTTTGACTCATTTCTTCGTGTTCAATATCAGGTATATATTCCTTGTCGTCCGCTGGGTGCAAGTCCCCCATTGAACGTTCCCGTTCTCTGCTTGTCCATGATCTGCAACACATCCTCTAGAATTGATGGCCCCAAGTCCAAATGGAGGGAAAGCATAGATCCCGCATTGGACAGATATGGCGTTTCCTCCTCGTCTGCATCCTTTACACACTTCTCATCTTTCTTAGTATCAGGCCTTGGCCTGTGTGTGTTTGAATGCAGTGAAGAGTGGTTTGGAGATGCAGGAAGGGATGCATGTCGTGTGATGCTTCTCTCTTCCAGGTGCAGTCTGGGAGGTTTGGGAGGTGGAGCGAGAGATGGCGATGTTGAGGGCGATTGGGTTTTTGTCAAGGTTGTTGGGACCTCTGTGTTCAACGTCGCTGCTGATGGAAGGGTGAGCGCCTGCACCCCTCCAATAATAGGGAGTGACAGGGCATTCTTCAGCAGAGGTGATCCCTCACTGACTGCTGGGTGACTGCATACACTTGCCGTACGACTTAGTTGGAATGACCCATGGTGACCTTGTTGTCCAGGTAGCAGGTGAAATTTACCTTGTAGGAAAGACAGGTCACCGAAAAGATCATCATCGCCTCCACCACTGCCGATGTGGATAGTGTGTCTGAAGTCTCCAAGCGGAGGACTGATCATGTCAGATGAAAGAACATCACGCAACTTTTCCTTCTTTCCTTTGCGGCTTCGTCGTTTTAAGTATATGGGAGCCTTGGTAGACATGTTTGACCCACCGTGTCCTCCCGCACAGCAGAGAGACAAACCTTCCAGCAGTGTAAATAAAGAGGGAAGGTGAAAAGAATCAACACGTGAAGAAGAAACAAAAAGGAAAATTTGCTAAGCAATCAAAACCAATCCAATTGGACAGAGTCAGGATGCCTTCTTTGCAGGGAAAGAATGTCATTGGTTTAAAGTGTCTCTTCATATACAAAGCCCAGAATTTCCATCTGAAGACCAGAAGGACAGTATTCCAATCAGGGCAATGATCCCAACATCCTTATAGATCGTTTAATCCAGTGTGTCTAAAGTCTGGAAGAAAAAGAAAGAGGGCATTTAGCACAGTGGTACATATTACTAACTCAACACCAATTTTTATTAAGTAGCACTGATTATTGATTATTTTGTATATTTATAATTTTTTCCCTGTAGCGTCTAGACTAGGGATGCAATGATTAAGTTACACCAACTGTGCGCTAGTTTAACGTTCCGAGTTTGTACACGAGGCTAATATGCGCGAACACACTGGATTAACTATGACTGAGGCTATTAACTAACGGTCGTTCACATTCTGTGTTTTTTGTGTGTGCAAGTTCGCATATTGGTAGTGACGTGCTCACGGTGTGCACACGTTTTCCAGGTGCGAAAGAATGGGCCGCGAATCATGTGACAAGAACTGACCATTCAGCTTCATATACACAGTTCTACTCCAAAGAGAAACATTCATTCATTCTATTCAGCTTAATCCCTTTATTAATCTGGGGTCACCACAGTGGAATGAACCGCCAACTTATCCAGCATATGTTTTACGCAGCGGATGCCCTTCCAGCTGCAACCCATCTCTGGAAAACATCCATACACAACGGACAATTTAGCCTACCCAATTCACCTGTACCGGGAGAACATGCAAACTCCACACAGAAACGCCAATTGACCCAGCTGAGGCTCGCACCAGCGACCTTCTTGCGGTGAGGCGACAGCACTACCTACTGAGCCACTACGTTGCCTTTAAAGAGAAACAAAAAATACAAAATGAAAATACCAAACAAGTTCATAATATATTATCATAATATATTGATCAAAAAGCCTTTCAGACAGAGGTTCAGCAGCCTTTCACTACATTTATTGTTGTTTGTTCTTGTTTAAAAGGGAAATACTTAGCCAATATGTAGCTTAGATATACATAAGACAAATACTATTTTTATTTACTTATTTATTCATTGTTCTGTTATTTATTTTCAGTGTTAAAATTTTACTTATGTTTTAATGCCAAAAAACTTTTTTTTCACTTATTTTTATGTTCAAAGAGAAATGGACTATTGTTTGTTTATGATTATGTTGTGCTGTCTTCATTAAAGAAGCATAAAATATAACACTTTAAAATATTAAGAGCTTTCATGTTGTTTTCTAAACTAGTAGTGTTTTAAAATTAATGGATAATAATCGTGATAACCGTGAAAGCATGAGTATTCCTCAGACTATAATCCTGCAACCAAAATCTAGAATCGATGCACCCCTAGTCTAGACCTTTCAATAAAGATCAAAGAATATATCAATTAAATCCATAAAGAAGAATCCGGAAACTGTCTATTTGACTGTTTCTGACTTGTTACATGTTATAGGCAACTATTCTTATAACCCTTACTCATTTTAATATCCTAAAAATCACATGGGAGGATTGGCCTTATCCCAAGGATGACAATGCCAAGATTCATCATCCTCAAACTGGCGAAAAAAGCTTAACTTTCACACATGAGTTGACCACCAACTGACCTGAACCCCACTCAGTTTCTCTCACAGAGTGATTCTCCACAATGATGGCCCTCCCATTATCAATATTATAGTAATCAACATTTGGATAAAAATCTTTCTTAAAAATTGTCATCAATCAATTGAACAACAACACCAATTCTTGTCAATTTTGCTAATAACATTTTTGATCCACATGTTGACTATACAGTAGATCTCAGCCAAAAATGAACGCAACTCTTAAAATAAACTCACGTGACACTGCATAAGGTTGTCAAAATAACGCCATGATCAATGCACACCATAATCAAATCTAAAAGCAGTCCAATTAAATAAAAGAACAAACAATATTTTATATTGTACATTTCGTAACTGTATCTCTCTTTACAACTGAACTGTCAACCTTTAAAGTAACGAAAACAACAACTAAACTTATGTAATATCAAACTAAGCAGAGTTAAAAGTGAGATTCACAACAGAACATAAACGTTACAAAATGTAATAAGAAGTGAGAGATAATAAACAAACTCTAATTTGGAAAAGAATCCGAACAAATAATCAGGGTTTGTTAGTTTTGGCGTGTTTGACTTTCACAAATAGGAAATATGACTGTATCATGTCTCCATGTGTCTGCTGATTGTGAACCCGCCTGTCAAACACTATAAACATTGAGCAGCAGATTAATGGGAACATTTGGGTGAATGTTTGCGTGTGTAAAAGTTCAACATGCCATAAGATCTGTACATGTGATGATACATCAGGAACTCTACAGCATGACTCTTAAATGCATACCTTTAGCACTAAATCATAGCATAGTTCTAGAGCTGCATCGGTTAACTATGTCCTGGTATGTGTGTGTATTTCCATTAACCTTGACTTTTATCACAATGAGTTTAACGGACGCTTACTTCAACCAGAAACAAAGGCCAGTTTTTCCATCTAAAGTGTGGGAAAAGCCACCTCGCTGCTGCATCAGTGACCAAGCAAGATTTAGAGGAGCTCAGAAATGTTCCAGGCTATAAACTATACAGTATGTTTGCACATCCTTTCTCTCAAATAATACTAATCCTTGTCAGTTGAGTGTATTGCCTAACACACTTGCCTAATAGATTGCATCAGCACAGTTTTGAATGTGGGTCATCCAATGAAAAAAAGCTTTCTAGTTTGACTATATAAACTGTAAATTTCCCAAGATTTTAAACATTATATTAGACAAGCAGTGTGTTTAAATGGTAACTAATTACTATTTTGGAACAGATCAATGAAACGGGGATGACAAATGAATAAAAGAGTATTTTAAAAGTAATAAAAGAGTGAAAGTTCCTTCAAAGGCAAGTAATTTTGCTTATCAAGCTCATGATTATATTTAGAAATCACCAATGAAATTAGACAACAACAGTCTCTTTAGTTTTATTTCTGAACCTTCTGAAAGACAAAAAATCTGCAGAAACTCACATCTGGTCCAATCCCCTCCCCCAGAGAAACTTCAATCAATAAATGATTGGCTCCTGTACTAGAAGGCGGGGCTTCATTCACCATATTGAACGTTACACTTTTTTCCCCATTCAAAACTATACGAGTGATATGTCTTGTGTATTCTATATTCTTTGGTATACATCATAGATATTTAAATTAGATCTCGCCTATGCTATTGTTGTCTATTAGAGGGAATGTGTCAATAGAGCCACCATTTTTAGTACAGGGTAGCGCTCCTTTAAAATGAATGTGTGACCAAGGTGCGGACTGGCCATCCGGAGCCAGAGATTTATACACATATATCTATGATTGGGAGTTTCTTCCGGTGGTAAGTATGCAAATATTTTTTTTCAATTACGAAAATTATAATTATAATTATGATAATATTATAATTATAATTATGATAATAATATTCTAATATAACTTTTCTACATCGATGGATAAGTGACCGCACGGGCATTGCTGATAAAGAACATGTGTTTGTGTGCATGAAAATGTATTATCCTCCCTCCCTGTTGAATTGGATCTAATCCGTGTCCTGAAACACACGCGCTCTCCTGCTTTCACTTCTCATTCTAATGGAGAGAGCGATTCGTTTGAATGAATTTCCGTTATGAATGACTCGTTAACTTAGTCGACAATAATACAAGTTTCTAGCATCGCAGCATCTTGTTGTCATATTTAATTTACATTATTTGCTTATTTTATTCAACAAAGCTAGCATAACCTAGTATTTAGTGTGAGTTGGTGCTACTTTCTCTTCTGGTTAGTGCGGTAAGAGACTGTATTATAATCAATACTTGTTTAGCGCAAATGTTTGTGACATACAAAAAACAACGAAATTTTACCTACTGTATGAATATTCTGCCTTTGTGCTTTGTTTTCTTTGTTTGCTCATTATTACACCCGTATACAAAGCTAAAGTCCAGCATCTTCACATTGGCTTTAGTCTTGACTAGTGCGATTGAATGACATTTTTCCTGGGAGCACTGTACAAATGTGGCGGTGCTATTGACGCATGCTCAGGGTCTGTATAGGATATCTAGTGTATACATCTACTGTGTGTGTATACGTTAGGGCTGCACGACATTGGAAATTCTTGATACTGCGATCATTTATTTTTATTCGATATATAATGCAATATTGATACAATTTCAGCAGGTGACTTGAACAGCGATATTTTGAATGAAATTGTTAATTTAGACATATCGCGATCATTCTGTAGTGAAGTGAATCAAACAAATTGCAAGCAAAAAATAAATAAGATAAATGTGCAATAATAATACAGTTTACAATACAGTTGGGTACTATTCGGCAAATAGCGTGATTTAAAGGATTTGAATCAAATAAATTCTGTCACTATCTAAGCACCATAAAGACATTATGAGTATTGACTAAAAGTTAATTGACTTAATGAATAGACAGTCACCAATGTTATCTGCTTCCAAATATTCTTAAAGAAATTACCTTTTTATTTATTTATTTATTTATTTTGTACTTTTTTCAGATAAAATAAATTAAAAATAGTTAGAAATTACCAAGGTGGATGCCAGGGGATAATAATTTTCATTTTTGCATGGAAATCCAATAACAATTATCTCATCTAAAATTTAATAATACATACTTTTCTTTGCACTTATTGGTTTAAAAGGTAAATTTGCTATGAGACAATATTTCGATTTATTATTTAATATTTGGTTTCAAGAAGTGCTGCATGATATTGTAAAAATCTGATATTGCAATATTTTATTTTTCTGCCATAAATATTGCGATATGAATAGTTTCAGAAGATGGTTTGAAGAGCTCTTTTTCACAGTTTTCTGGAGAGCCTAACAGTATTCAGTTACAGAAACTTATTACTCACAATTGTCTAGTCTGAATATCAAAAACATTCTTAAACCAAGTAAAAAATAGTTTAGTTTTCACTGTCACATGAAATAGTTGAAAATTAAGAGTTTATTTGCTTGTTTTAAGGAAATTAGGAAAGTGAAATAAACTTGCTTTCACTATGACATGTAGATATTTGGATTAGAAACAAGACAAAAATTGTAAGCAAGACATGTTTTTTGCAGAAATCATATAAATTC